ATCTTAAGCACCTCTCAGACAGCATTCAGTCCAAAGTAATGGTTAAACCTTACTGAATGTCTTCAGTAATGGCAGACTATTTCTCTGTCTTCCTGCCACAGCAAATCCCAGCAACAAAAGAAATCAAGATGTCTCCATTCAAACCTGTTTGGTGTGTCCAGGTGGAGAAATTGATTGAAAGGAAGAGGAATTTTGCCATTTCCAGCTAAAAGGAGGGGGAGAAAAAAAAATGAGGGATGTGTTTTTGTTGCCGGGATGACAAATAGAAGGTGCCTGTCAATGGGGGAATGGATGGAGACCGATGAAAGAGAGGAAAAGTAGGGGAGGTAGAGGCTTAAGGGTGCCTGTCAGTGAAGAAGGGTTAATAGAAAACTGTAAAAGAGAGATACAGTAGGAATGAGGAGACGATGGGAGGAATGTAGAGAGGACGAGTAAAGAGGAGAGGAGGGGTTTATGTCAGCGGAGGAGATGAGGGGATGACAGAAAGTATGGAAGGAAGAAGAAAGAGGAGAGGATGATCTGTCAATCACCACTGTGGGATAGAAAGGAGAGACTGAGACAAAAAAAAGATAAATAAAGTGTATGTATGGCTATCTGTAGTTGCAGGTGGTGAGCCCCACTGTGAGCCTTGGCCGGCCTGCTAACTCTGATCTGATAACAGAGGCACTCTATTCAGCAGTAATGTGGTCCTGCACGTACACACACACACACACACAGACTGTTCTGTATATGGTAATATCCGCGTTATAAAATACAACCATACACTGATTATAGCTTTTGTGTGATTGCTACTTGCTGTACGTCTGTACCAATACTAACACGATGCACTGTGTGTATTTTTGCTCTCCATAAATAAACTACAGTATTATTATTGAGATGACCTACCTCTTAGTTTTATGCCTCCACAGTTTATGATAGCAGCGGCCAGAGGCATTATGTTTTATGTTTGGTGAATGCGGTGTCTTAGGAATGCCTGGAGGAAGTTTCTTTAAATCTGCCTCAAACATCCCATGAGACCTAAAGGATGAACTAATTAGGGCTCCGAGAGTAGCGATCAATGGAATAGGACACAACCTTTGGGGCTCCTGCAATAATCTATCAAAACTCCTTCTCCAGGCACAAAGGTTTTGCGTTTTACCCGACACTTCCGACTTCTTGCTGACCAGGGCTGTCACTTATGACTCATTTTCTGGTGATTAATCTATTGTCTATTTTACAGATTAGTCGATTGATCTAAACCAAAAAATCGAATTAACCATTTCATCAAGTTCATTTAAGTTTATTTTATTTGACAAACTTTAGACTGTCATTGTATAATGCAACACACAATGAAATACGCAAACCCCTGAAATCTTAAATACAGATATCGTAATCAAAATATGCTCCCCGTATTCTTACAGTACATTTATCCCTGTTTGTAATCAAAATGAAAAATGTTTAATAAGGCAGCATAAATAGTCATAACACACCGGCTCATGCAGGCTACATGCAGATGAACAACACACAGTCCAATGTGAGTGCTTTGAAGAATACCATAAGTTAAATGGAAACCCTGCTTTCCACCTGCAGAGACGACATCGCCACTCTGTTCATGAAACACTCCTAAACTTGAGAAAGAGCCTTTTTCCGGAACCTGCTGACCCCCCCCCCCCCCCCGCACAATAACCGCGTGATGCATCGTACGGACTGTGTTGATATTCTCTGGTGATTCAGAGCTCAACTACAAATCAAAGTCGGAGAGACGGGGGTCATCTCTGTCTTTCCTGATTACACCGCGAAGACAACTCCCGGCCCGAAGCGCCTTCAGTGACATCTGGCGGCAGCTCTGTGAGATGCCAGGGGTACAATTTGACCTGCTTTTCCCTTCGTGTTATACATAACGGTGCAGAGAGGGAGTTTCAATCACAAGAAGATGTCATTCAAATACCTAGCAAGTGATACGATGTTGAGGTGGATTTGTTCATTTGTGCCTCATTGCCTGAAAGAAAGAAATTAAATATTTTATTGACGTAATGTATGTGCACTCGTTTTATTTCAGTTCATTGTGAGGAGTCTTGTCGCGCTAGTTTCTCTCGCCACCTTTTTGTTTCACTGAGGGTGGAGCTCTGCCCACAACCATTTCTCTTCGGCAAAAAAGCTCTTATCTTAGTTGTGAAATATTGGATTGACTTTGCAGACGTCTGTGTCCTGCTGCTCATATCAGTCTGCCTTTCGCTAAGTAGCAGTCCGCTCTGCTGGAAGAACTGTGTGACCATTCCTGAATTACTCAAACAACACTTTCTATATTAGATACTTTAAAATCGATGTTTCCATATCGAAGCAAATCGCACAGCATATGGGCAGATAACGATGTATCAGTAATAAACTAATATGGGCCGCCAGGCAAATCTGTGTCTCCCCATATTACCATATTTGGGTTTCCAGAGGACTGCAACCATCAAGCAATTCGATGTTGTAGCTCTCACTTCCTTACTTGCCAGTCGGCATCATACTATAATAAGTGGGAAACTTTTCAACGTTCCTCGGCTCTCTGCAATCTCTGTCCCCTGACTGACTCATTTTGTTTTGCTTTTGTTAGTTTGAACATTGATTAGTATGATTACATCTTTAACATGCAGGAAGTGTGGCTTGTTTTTTTTTTGACTACATCGTTATTATTCATGTTTCCACTTTTGGACTGTGATTGTCATTGTTAAACTGCCATTTGTTTCTCTTTCCGTGCACTATATTTATTAATAGGAATATTAAACAGAAAAAAGGGATTAACACGGTGACTTCATAAAACACATTTTTGGCCACAACTCAAGAATTGTTTTGCTAATTATAACAATTTCACACACACGATGAAGTGATGACATTTTGGACCGGCATTGATGTAAAGTGCAACTTGACAGGTTGGTGAAGGTTCATTTCTTTCCTTTGTAGGGCTTTGGAAACACGTTTAAAAAGAAACATTGACATGTTTGTTGTGATACATACCCGTACATATTGCCCTCACAAACACACTCACACCTACTAGTTCACATATTTATATCTCTTTACGTCTCTCTCTCTCTTTCCCTCCTTCCATCCCACCTCTCCTTCACATCCATAATCTCCATGGCGACTGCCCTGTAAATGCACAGGGCACATAAAGATTAGCTCTCTCACGCCCCTCCCCTCCCTCCTCCACCAGTCCTCTTTCTCTCTTAAATCTATACGACACTCCATCAGCATCCAGCTAAACTTCTCGTCCGTGCTGCTACGATCCACTGATCGCCATCTCTGTAACATGTGATCGACTCTTAAATTGTGACAAAGGGACTCACTAGGTGCAGACTGAGGTGCTGTCATTATCATCTTCACTATCCTATTGTTATTGATATCCAAGCTGCTCAATCTCACTGACATTTTGTCTTTTTACAGATCGCCTTTCTTAAAGGAAAATCATGTTTCCCGCTCACCCAGAGTGAGACAATTTCATATCTGTATGTAGTAGTGCAAATAGTCAATGACAAGTGTGATACATTTGGTTGACGAGCACTATTACTGTGGCAAAGACATTATTTTGATAGGAAGGGATCACTGAAAATTAAAAATGTGACTGAATCTATTTAAGATCAGTCTGACAGCACCACAGGAAAGAATAAATATGTGCTGGGATGAGTCTCCAGCACGAGTCTTTGCATGAAAAGTCTAAAGGATTCATCCTCTGGGCACCTTTAATTGTCAACATGTTTTGGCATACCGCCCAATAATTGTCGAGATATTTCAGTCTGGTCCAAAGTGGTGGACCGACCGCCACCATGGCTTAAAAAGATCCAAAAGTTGGGTTAAATTTAAGTTTGCTTCTTGGTTAAACCCATTGGTGAAATCTGCCCTTAAATTATCTGATCACCTTTGAAAAACGTCTTTATATCAAACCTAGCTTTTAGATGACTTTTCATCAAATTACATCAGTTACTTAATACATTAAATCAATGAGTATCGTCAGCATTTGATGGCTGAAGGTTTACAGACAGACTGAGCAACTAAATGCTTCTCTGCAGCAACTTCCCTGATTGACTAAACCACTATCTGACTGAATGAATGGTGGTTTCTGCATTCATGCGCTGAATCTGTAGACAACGGGACAAAGTTTTGGTATCAGAAGCGTTCTGGTTTCCATTTGCAGTCAGAGTAGTATTGACTCATCACGTTCGAGCAGGCTTTGGTTAAATGCAGGTTAACAGGCGATGATTACGCTAATTGTGAAACAATCTGATCGTACATGTCATCTCTGAAATCCAACTCTCCGGTCTCGCATCTCAACTTGCTAATCGGAGTGTAAACAGCAAGTCCTGGCCCGGATATCCCCTGGCTAGAACCTCTAATACACCCTCATGCCCCCAAAAGCTTTGTCGTCATCATAGCGTCAACATACAGACTTGAGTGAATCAACAGTTACGATGGATCTGCGCGTGTAACTAACTAGCTGTCTGACTGATTAAGAGGCTTCCTCAGAGGACTGACTGATTGACTGTTTGGCTGTCTTTCTGACTGTGTAATCAGTGAAAGTTGTGTCTTTATTACGCAGCCAAAGCCACGGCCATTCTGCCAGCATCTGATTGACATCCCTGCCTGGCAACTGTCTCAGTTCTTCCAGAGAGAGAGGGAGAGTGCTGTTAGCACTGAGCAGAGAAGACACTTATTGATTTTCTACTTGTCTATTATTTTTGTTTTTCGCAGAGAAAAGACAAGTGTGTGTGTGTGTGTGTGTGTGTGTGTGTGTGTGTGTGTGTCCCTACATTTGATGCAGATGTGTTTACATGTGGGTGTGCTGTCAGTATACAGTTGCTTCTACGATTCCTGGCCAACAAACACAACAATCTATCTGCTCCTCACACTACTCACTAATTGGATGAAAGCTGGCAGGTGGAAGAAAACATGTGTTGGTGTGTCTATATGCTGTGTATCACTTTGTGTGTGTGTGTGTGTGTGTGTGTGTGTGTGTGTGTGTGTGTGT